GTCTCTGCTCTAGACCAAGTCCTGCCTGAGGTTCTGGGAGTCCAGCCCAGGGAAGCCGCATTGGTGCCAGCTTCAACATGGTGGCTTCTGTCCCTCCTGTCTGCCGGGGTCTAGACTCAGATGTCTGTCCATTGTTTTTAGCAAAGTGTCAGACCTGGGAGTCGGCAGGCATACCGCGCAGCTGGACAGACTGACGGAGGGGCCAGGATGTGCCCATTTACTTTCGCCTGGCCCCCCACAGTCTGGCAGCTCGTGGCTTGTCTGCAGGGAGGGTATCTGAGTGGATTAGGAAGGTCTTGGCAAGTTGAGTTCATGTTGGAGAGAGGGAGAGAGAGAGGGTGGAGGGGGAGAGGGAGAGAGAGGAGGGATGCAGGATGAGATAGATGATAAATAATAGATAGATAATACATAGATAGATAGATAGATAGATAGATAGATAGATAGATAGATAGATAGGCGTAGAGGGAGAGGGAAGGCGAGGAGAGAGGAGGGAGGGGCAGAGGCAGTGTGCAGGACTGGACAGAGCTCAGGCAGGAAGTGGCGCCCCTTGCGATGGTTAAAGTGGCCGGTTTCGGTGCATTGTGCCCACTGTTCCGGACAGAGGAGGGAGCTTAGGTGGTGCAGTAGATGAACGCATTGGACTGCTAACCTCAAGGTTGGCGGTTCCAGCCCACCAGCCCCTCCTGCTGAGAGAGTGGAGGCAGTCTGCGTCTGCATGGCCCAGGAACAACAGCAGCGTCTGAGGCTGAACTCCTCTCTCCAGGGGCAGCTGGGAGTCGGCTTCGATGGCAGGGCCGCTAGGTGGAGGGGATGGGCCCTGGGTGACGTGGCTTCTGCACCCGAGGGGGTGGTGAGGGAGAGGAGGGGCTGATGGCAGGAGCCTTGTTTGGTGGTTTGTTGAACCCAATGATCTAGGGTGCAGTTTGTCTCAAGGCAGCAGTGAGACGTGCATGCTCCCCAGCCCCTCCCCTTGTTCGTGCATGGTCCCAGCCCCTCCCCTTGTTCTTCGGCTTAACCTGAGGATGGAAGCCTCCCGCAGCGGCAGTGGCAGCAGCCCAGGCCTGGGAGCCAGGGAGGCCCCGAATCCTGCCCTAGCTTCTGAACAGCAGCCCAGCAGGGAAGCTATTTTAAGGACCAGACCGCAGCCCTCCCCCACCCCCCACCCACCCCCACCTCCTCATTGGCTTCTGAGAGAGGGGTCTGGGGAAGCTGGAGCACTTTGTCCTGCTGCACACCTTTCTGAGGGCTTCAAGTGTGGGGGCAGGGTAAGAAGGTCTACCCAAGAAAGCAAGCCCAGGTGGCG